GCACTTCACATAGTAAACATTCCAATACAGGTCTGTTCATTAAGCCAATCAGTAAAAAGTTCCCTATATAAGGAACACAGCAGATTGCATCAAGACAAGTCTTTACAGCAATCATCATACTAAGCAAGCATGCAGCGAAAGTGGAGAGGAAAAGTCCCATTTAACAGGAAGAAACCTCCAGAGGATCCTGGCTCAGTATAAGCTGCCATCCTCCACGACTCACTGGGGATGGAGAAGACACACACACACACACACACACACACACACACACACACACACACACACACACACACACACACACACACACACACACACACACACACACACACCCACACACACACACACACACCAAGTAGTGTTTCTATGGTTACATTGTGATGTCTTAGTAAATATTCTATTTGGTGAGAGATAAACTTTACTGTATTTATCCTAGTGGATCTCTAATTAAACGGGTAAACTAGTAGTAGCACATTCAATGTCAAAGAGAGTAAATTGTTATTATCAGGAGAGGGAGAATGTTTAAGTGGTTAGCAGCAGTGTTCACGCCGTTGGACTTTCTCCAGCTGACAAACTTGGATTAAGCCAAGAGAAAATTGTGTTTTTACTGAACTGCTCCCTTCGGAGTGAACCTTTTTTTTTTTTAACTCTCTCAGACTATCTGGCAGAGGAGGTGGCTTGTTACCGTTTTTAAGAACTATTTTACATGTAAGACTATGAGTCATCAGAGCTCCTTTTCTTCTTTTGAGCTGCAGCATTTTGTTCTGGATTTCAAACCTCCTTTTTTCTGTGCCTTGATCTATCGTCCCTCCAAATATAACAAAGGCTTTATTCATGATTTCTCACAGTCCCTGGCTGATGTTGTGTCCAAATATGATAAGATTGTTATCACTGGAGATTTTAACATCCATGTCTACTGCCCTGACAACCAGCTAACTAACGATTTAATATCCATTCTAAGCATGTTTGATCTGTATTAACTTAAAAAAGGATCCAACTCACTCCCATGGCCATAGCCTGGACCTAGTAGTCTACAAAGGACTTTGTGTTGCTCTTAAAGGCATTGAGGACACGGTCCTTTCGGACCACTTCTCCATAGCCTTTGACATTGTTATTCCTCAACCGGCTGTTTTTCCATCTTCAAATGTTATCTGGCATCGTGTCCTCACACCTTCAACTGTCAAGGCCTTTTACAATAACTCCTCAAACACAGAACTTGCTGTTACAGATCTTTCAACCTCCCTCTACTCTAAAAATGAACTGTGGGAGCTTTTTAATTTCACCTCTCTTGGAATTTTAGACAGTGTGGCTCCTCCTAAACGCCAGGGTCCCCGCCGGCCTTCTGAACCTTAGTTTAATGACAGTACATGCCTCATCAGAAGACATTGTAGGAGGCCTGAGCGCAAATGGAGGAAGGACAATTTCAAAATCTCCCTGGATATGCTCAGGGAGGGTCTGACCTGCTTCCAAACGGCTGTTAAAGCTGCTAAATCTCAGTACGTCTCATCAGTCATTACAACTAATAGCCACTCTCCAAGACTACTCTTTGACACCATTGAGTCATTTCTCAATCCATGTTCTATTGCTCCTATTGATTCCTCTGTGGACGTTTGAGAGAAATTCAGAATTTTGTGGACAAAATCTCTTCTATTCGGCACAGGGTCGGAATGCCTATTGCCACAGTCACGCCTCCCTGTCCTGTTCCAAATGCTGTTTTAGAAGAGTTTCCTCCTGTGTCGCTCTCCTCGCTATCTGCACTACTGAGTCAAATGAAACCCTCTCTTTGCCCCTTAGATTTTCTCCCAGCTAAAGTGTAAAGGATGTACTTCAAGTCATTGGACACTTTATCCATGCTGTTTAACTCATCCCTGAGTTTTGATATTTTTCCATTGGGTTTAAGGCATGCTGTGGTTTGGCCCCTACTCAAACAACCCAGGTGGGCCCCACTGTTCTCTCAAATTTTTTGATCCATTTCAAATCTTCGCTTTTTAATCTAAGGTTCTAGAAAAATATTTTTTTAATCAGGTTCAACAATTTCTAGACAACAGTATCATAGAAACCTTCCAATATGGTTTTAGATCACGCCACAGCACTGAATCGGCTCTCCTTTCCATAATGACACAGCTGGACGATAGGCAGCCGGTTGTGCTGGACCTTTTGGCTGCTTTTGAAATGGTTGATCATAAGATTCTTGTCTCGCACCTTGAAGACTTTGTTGGCTTTGGTGGTAAAGTCTTAAAATGGTTTGTTTCCTACTTCTCAGATAGGACCTTCTCAGTGATTGTAGGTGATGTTTTCTCCTTTACCGCCTCTCTTTCCAGTGGTGTTCGTCAAGGATCAGTTCTTGGTCCGCTGCTCTTTTCTTTATTTATGCTACCACTTAGAAGAATCATAACTAGACATAACCTTTGTTTTCATTGTTATGCTGATGATGTTCAAATATATTAACCAATCAGTCCAAATTCTAACGTCACAATTACATCCTTGCTGAGATGCCTCGATGACCTCCAGCTGTGGCTCTCTGATAGTTTCTTGCTCTTAAATGAAGAGAAGACAGAGTACATCATTTTTATTGCCCCAAAATCATCCTTGTATTTACATCCCTAATCTTGGCCCTTTGGCCTCCAAAAACAAACCACATGTTAGAAACCTTGGTGTCATCTTTGACAGTGAACTCAATTTTGACAAGCAGATCAGTGCAGTGGTTAAAGCAAGTTTTTACCAACTCCGGGCTTTGTCTAGGCTCAAACTTTTTCTAAATCGCTCAGACCTAGAAAAAGTCATCTACGCATTCATCAGTTCACGCCTAGACTATTGCAATGCTCTATATGTTGGTCTGTCCAAGTCTTCCATTGCCCACCTTCAGCTAGTCCAGAATTCAGCAGCACGCCTCCTCACGAACACATCTAGATGCACTCACATTAAACCCATCCTCTCAGCCCTGCATTGGCTCCCTGTGTCCTTTGGAATACAATGCAAACTCATTCTGTTTACATTCAAGTGTATTCATGGCCTAGCCCCACTTACCTCTCTGACACTTTATGCCTACTCTGGCACACAAGATAAACAAGTCATCAAACAAACTTTTCCTTGAACTTCCTTGTTTCAGGTATAAGCATTGGGGTGATCACTCTTTTTCAGTGGCAGCCCCAAGACTCTGGAACAAACTCCTCACTGGCATGCGTCTAACTACAGTATTGCCACGTTTTAAAAGCAAACTCAAAACGTATCTTTTCCAGTAGGCTTTTAACTAATAGGGTTTTTTTATTCTTTTTTTTTTGCCTTTTATGGCGAACATTTAGGTTTGTGTCTTATTTTATTCTTGTTATTGATTTTAAGGTCTTGCTATTTATATATTTATTATCTTAAATTGATTTTATTTTCATGGGTTTTACCTTTTATTATGTTTAAGCACTTTGGGCACATTCAAGGGTTGTGGAAAGTGCTCTATAAATAGACTTGATTGATTGATTTATATGGCCCAGGGATGGGCAGTAAATCTAAAATGTATTGTTATTGAAACTTCTGACTCTGTCACATTGTGAGCAGGAGGGTTGAACCCGAGATGCAGAACACCCAGAACGACTCGAGGCAGGAGAAAATAAGTTCCTTTTGCTAAAGGAGGATGAGCAAAGATCCAAAGGCACAAAAATCTAAGCCTAATCTCAAAAACACTGAATGACAAAAAACTAAAACAAAAGCTCACTCATGAGCATGAACCTAGAGAATCTCGAGAGGGACAAAACAATGCTGTCACATACAATGGACCGACATACTGAGAGACAAGACAGGGTTATATACACAAGGGCTGGGTGATTAGGGGAATTGGGCACAGGTGAATCTAATGAACTGAGAGGAAGTGCAGAAAGAAGTAGGGAAGAAACTCATCTAAATCCTGTAAAAACAAAAGCTACTAAACTAACCCAGGACACGTTGGAGAGGTTACATCTCCAGTCTTGTCCAGGAATGCCTTGGGGTCCTGCCGGAGGAGCTGGTGGAGATGGCTGGGGAGAGGACGGTCTGGAGCTCCCTAGTTGGGATACTGCCCCAGCGACCCCGACCCGGATAAGCGGAGGAAGACAACAACGATAGTAGAACAAAGACACAGGGGGAATCTAGAAATAAGTGAACGAATGATCTAAGTGGGGAAGAAAACACACACACTAAAGGAGACTAATGAACTGAAAATCTGAGCCTATAGAAAACTGCAGAGGAGTGACTAGGAGAAAAATGAGGGAAACCAGGAGGGAGCTGGGGACCAAAGGGGGCACAGAAGACTTGGGGAGACATGAGGGTAACCTGAAGGGAGACCTGGAGGGGGCTGAGTACTTCAAGGATACAGAAACGCTTGGGGGGAACATGAGGGAAACCAGGAGGGAGCTGGGGACAAGAAGGGGCATAGGAGGCTTGGGGACACATGAGGGGCACCTGGAGGGAAACCTGGAGGGGGCTGGGGACCACAAGGACACAGAACATGACAGACTCTTATTGAGATAATTTTTTCCCATGTCATTAAATTTGATAATAAAAAAGTTTTAAGATGGGTGCAGGTTGGCAACGTTCATGTCTCCTTTAAGAAGCTGTACCACCTTGAGTCACGTAAAAATGTGACTCATCATAAAACATGTGACAGTCAATTCTAGTGGACAACTTTTGTTTATGCGCATACCGGTAGTTATCGTCCATTTATTGTTTTCGAGATGAAATCCTCAATATATCGTGATATTGATTTTAGGCCATTTGCCCAGCCCTAATATGGCCCTTTCAAATATTGATTCAGTATCGTCACACAAAATGTCAAAAATGTGTACCAATATTTTCTTACATACATACAACACAATCTTCCTTGTCCATATTGCCCCTTAACTGGCTTTGAAACTAATCCCTCTTAAAGCCATAGTGAGTAAAAAGTTCTGTGGTAAAAGCGAGCTAACAAATTCCCTTTAACTTTAACCGGTGGTTGGGATAAACAAGACAAATCTAATTTCACATTTTACCATAAGGTGTGCTGGCATTTGGAGTGAAAGAATCCACAACCATCAACAAGATCTTTACAGCAATCAACATCTTAGTGTTGCTGTTCGTGACCATCTCTGGATTCATCAAAGGAAACATCTACAACTGGCAAATCAGCGAGGAGGCTTTGATAAATGCCACAGCAGAACTCAAGTAAAGAGAACTTGTTTCTTGTTTCATTCTGCATGTGTCTGTTATCATGACCTATCTGTCTCAGATTTTTCTCAGTTTAGGTAAAAATGCTTTTAATGTTTCCCCTCACCCATACAGGAACCTAAGCTCTACCACCAATGTAACCAGCGAGTTTGGAGCAGGTGGATTCTTCCCATATGGCCTCAGTGGTACCCTGGTTGGAGCTGCAACCTGCTTTTATGCTTTTGTTGGATTTGATTGCATTGCAACAACAGGTAAAAATGAAGATAAATACCTTACGCTAAATTCTACTTGGATTTTATTTAGGTAAATTAACATTTTATAAAGATAAATCTTATCACAACATATGAAAACATTACAACTCTACTGATACCTTTCTTGTTGTGAAACGTATAACGAACTGGGCAATAAAACTACAAAACTGACATTGCTGATGTAATAAAGTACAATAAAATGTTTTTAGTACACTTTAAAGTGCTTTACAAGCAAGGATAAGGATTGTCTGATTGGGTGGATCTTCAGTACAGCAGGAAGTAGAAAAATTCTAATCCTGCAAAATGCTTTCACAGGAGGGAACAAAACTTTGTTTAAAAAAAAGATATATTTGATGAGGCTGAGTTTGTCTAAAACTGTGCTGTGTAAACTCTTAGTTCTCACAGTGAGCTGTTTACTGATCTGAATGATTGGAGTCAACATACAATGTCATAAAGTTTGTGACATTTATGTTTAAGGTCATTTAACCTTTTAAAGGTGAGAAGAAATAGTTTAAAGTCAGCACAGATTCAAACAGGAGTGCAGAGTTATGGTTCACATTTCATCGATCTGAGGTAATGTCACTTTATCCACCTCATTCCTAGGCCTGTTCATGTAAAAACGATTATGCGAGAAACATCTGGTGAGATATCTGAATTAGGTTTTGCTTCTTGTAGCAGAGTTAAGAAAGTAGCTTAAATGTTGCCTTTGGAAAGATCTTCATATCATCCACCCACTCCTCTATTGCAGTAGGCAGAAGCATTACAATGATGGCCCGTTTGAGCTGTGCCAGCTGGTGTTCTCACATAGTTTATGCATTTAAAAATTTCATCAAAAGTGGATTAGTGCTAACAGATCACATCATTCACCTCATTTTTGAGGATTTCCGAGTCGTGGCAGCGCGAAAATGACGTCACTCATCTCCGTGAGCTCTGTCCTCAAGACTGCTCTTTCTTCTCTGCTCCACGAACCACAGGCCTCGGTGGAGGAACAGCTGTTATCTTTAAGAAACACTTTTCGTGCCAACTTATATCCTCAAACTCCTACAGCTCATTCGAGATGATCATGATTAAAATTGGTCCAGCTCTACCAGTTTATGGAATTCTGGTCTATCACCCACCTGGATCTACTTCATCCTTCCTGTCTGACTTTCAGGACCTCCTATCTTAAACTATTAAACTAGACAGGATAATCATTGTTGGAGATTTCAACATCCATGCTGAGGATCTATCTAACAGCTCTACCAGGGAGTTCCTAAACATGATGAACTATTTTAACTTCTCTCAACACGTGTCTGGTCCCACTCACAGAGCAGGCCACACCCTGGATCTGGTCTTTTCCTACGGACGTCTTGTTGATAAGCTGCAGATACATGATGTTGTGTTCAGTGACCATAAGTCAGTTTCTTTTCATATTAACCTAAATTCTGAATCTCTTTTACCAGTCTCTGCTAAGCAATGACGTATTATCAACAGTTGTACCATTTGAAATTTCTCCTCCCTCTTTGACTTTGTACCTCCTTCCTCTGATGACGTAGAGCTCCTTACCAACTCATTTAATGATCACTGCCTCAAAATTCTAGATCAGGTCGCCCCTTACAAAACCAGCCGCAGTTCAAGTGCCTCCAGTTCACCCTGGCTGAACAACCAGATTCTTGAACTTAGACGCTCCTATAGAAAAGGGGAACGACGGTGGAAGAGGACAGGTCTGGTTGTTCATCGTGAATATTTTAAAGAACTTCTCGAGTCATACAACGAAGCTGTAGAAAGTGCCAGGTCTTCTTTCTTCAGCAACCTCATATGTCAAAATAAGAATAATCCTAAGGTTTTGTTTGATACCATCTCCAGCATCGTGTCTTCTCCTCCGCAGCAGGCTCAGCTATCTTCAGCTGATGACTGTAACACCTTTCTCCACTTTTTTTGCCAACAAAGTGTTGAATCTGAGATCCAATATTCCACCAGTATTCCACTAACCCTAACCCTAACCAGAGTTATTTTTGATCCAGTTTTAAGTTTAGACTCACACGTCAAACCCATCTCCCGCTCTTGTTTCTTCCAACTGAGAAACATTTCAAAAGTCCGTAAACTGGTTTCTTCTGCAGATCTGGAAAAAAATCATCCATGCCTTTGTGTCATCACGCTTAGACTACTGTAACTCTCTTTTTACTGGTCTCAGCAAAACCTCCCTCTCACGCCTTCAAGCCATCCAAAATGCAGCAGCCAGACTCCTAACCAAATCCAGCAGACGAGCTCACATCACTCCAGTTTTACAGTCCCTCCACTGGCTCCCGGTAGAACATAGAATACAGTTTAAAGTTTTAGTGCTGACCTATAGAGCTCTTAACAACCAGGCTCCAAGCTACCTATCTGAGCTTTTATCCACACACACCACCTCTCGGAACCTTAGATCCACATCTGAAAACCTCCTGGCTGTTCCTCGAACCAGACTAAAAACCAAAGGGGACAGGGCCTTTCAGTCTATTGCCCCCAGACTTTGGAACAGTCTGCCTTCAAATCTCTGTCTCTTTAAATCTGTAGAGGTCTTCAAAAATAATCTTAAAACTCACCTTTTCATCCAGGCTTTCCCCCGCTAAATATTCTAAAAGATGGCTTTGTTCTTGTTCACACCTTGACTTTGTTTTTACTCCTGATTTTGGTTACTATTGTTGTCACTGCTATTGTTTTTATGATGTTTCATTGGTTTGAGGTATTTGCCCAGATTTTACTCATGTTGTACAGCGCTTTATGATGTATATCTGTGAAAGGCGCTATATAAATAAACTTTACTTACTTACTTACTTACTTACCTATGGTGGCAATGTAAACAAAAGCTGGACTGTAGGTAGGTCAAATCTTTCATACAAAGGATCTTGGGGGCTAGAAATAAAGCCTGGACCATGCAATTCACTTTTCGGCTGTTGCACAAGTCACACTGTGTGGACTCCAGAAAGGTGGCACACTGTACGACGCAAGATTTCAGTGAGCCAAACTGCACAACGTCTTTCAATTCAATTCAATTCAAGTTTATTTATAAAACGCCAAATCACCACAAGAGTCGTCTCAAGGCACTTCACATAATAAACATTCCAATTCAGGACAGTTCATTAGGCCAATCAGAAATAATTTTTCCTATATAAAGAACCCAGCAAATTGCATCAAGTGTCAGTGACTATACAGCAATCCTCATACTAAGCAAGCATAAAGTGACAGTGGAGAGGAAAACTCCCTTTTAACAGGAAGAAACCTCCAGAGAAACACTTTTCGTGCCAACTTATATCCTCAAACTCCTACAGCTATGTCACAAGTGCACTCCCTGAAAAGCATACATCACTAAAAGCAGGCAGCTAATCAAAACAAAGAAGCTGAAAAGAGAAAAAAGCGCAACCGATTACACTTCTTTTTAGAGTCAGCTCATGACCCAGCTCATCTTCCTCAAAGAGGAAGGATTGATCCACTAGATTGTTTTTAAAACCTGTTCTTTGGCCTCAGACTCGGGTCTCCTCTTCCTGTCTTCCAGCTTAACAGTTGAGCTGGACATTCATCCTTCTCATCCTCCTGTAACGAAGTGGTTACTTAAAAAAAAAATCAATTAAATATAAAAATATTCAATTAAATGTAATATCCCATTTAAATATGGATTATCAATATCTTTTCACTTTTAATATTTGATTGATGATGAAATTAGGTAATTTGAGTATGCCAAGGAATCCACACATTATAATAATTTGACACAGAGACAAAAATATGGTTCATACTAATTATTGTATATTGCTACCGCTTACCTAGGGGCGGATGCAGAAGCGGCCTGGGCCTGAGTCATGACACACACACTGGGTGGGTCTGAGGGGGAAGAACATTATCAGGGAGCCACAAAGGGTTGAAGGACCACAAGATACCAACAACAGCACCCTGTGTGGCTAGTGAGTTTGTAACGTCTCTTGATCATGTCCAGGTGCACAGGAATGACCTTTGACTTTATGCCAACACATCTGCATGCCATGAAAAGGTCTCAATGTTTAACGGACTTCTGGTTGGAGGTCAAGAACCCATTACTTTTCCAAGAAGGCAGATGGCAGGAAGCTGAGTCAAGCATAGTCTGAGTGAGTGCAGATCACCAGCTTGTGTACACCACGATCAGCAGCAAGTTGTAGGACTATCAGGATCCCAGCAACCTCTGCGAACTGTGTTGAACTCAGAGGGTGAGTAGAGTAGCCAAATGGACACTGTGTGAAGGTGTACTGGCAGTTGGTGAAGGTGAAGGCTAATTTATATTGGTCAGTCTCAGACAGGAATTGTCCTGAATTCAGAAGCAATGTCCAGGGTGGAAAATTATTTAGCATATCTCACCTTTGGAAGTTCTTGTTCCAGGTGGGCCATCAGCCACCGGGACAATGGAACCTGTTGGTCAAGTTTTCTGTAGTCAGTGGTTAGTCTCCACTGACCATTAGGTTTCCTCACCACCACAACGGAGCTGGGTAGGTGCTGTTACAGGGTTGTATGATACTCTTTTCCAAGAGACTGTTAATGATTTCCTGCACAGGTCCATTGGATGCCAGGGGAATAATGTAATGATGCACGAAGGGCAACGGAGCATGTGGTGGTCGGAATCCTCACCTCATGGATCGTAGTTAACACACAATCTAGGGAGTCGACTGAAAGGGTCTTTGTATTTTAATAGGAGCTGACGTAGTTTTTCCCATTTAACCTCATTCATAAGAGCATCCCCCTGCCCACGACCTGTTCAATGCATGAGAAGATGTCGGGGGGCGGTTCTAGAGGGGCTGAGCTCGGCGTGGAGCCTGTAGGTTCCCCAAGCTCAGGGCCTCCTACCACAAGACAGCAAAAGTCAAGTTCAGGAGGGAGCTCAGTAGGCAGGGGTTTTTCAAAACACGCCCAAAGCACCCCCACCCACCCAGATCGACAACAGGGACAAGGCATTCCAATAGATTTTTATTAAGGATCAAAGGAATGGAACCAAGATCAGAAATGTACACGGGGTGTGTCATCAGATGATCACTGTGAAGTGAAGAAGAGACACGAATGACAAGGTTGTGTCCCCTGGAGCACATGCGTGGACATTCATCGCACAAGGGACAAGTTCTGGAGGTCGACCTCCGCTACTGGAGGCTAGGACGAGGCGGTCAAAAAGAGGATGAGACATGATAGTGAAGTCTGAACAGGTGTCCGTAAGCGCATCACAGGGGAGCACCTGTTCGAGAGTTACGGATTAGAGATGAGTGAGTACACCACTCTCTGTATCTGTTCAATCATCTAAATTATCTGTATCTATACTCAGATTGGGCAGGGTCATAACCAGAAGTGGGTGTTGTTTAACCAGAAGTGGGTGTGATTTATCGCTGTACATCACTTTAAGTCTGGAATAGATATGGATTGATCAGAAGTTGCTATGTGTATTGTTTATTTGAAAACTATTTACAGAACAGCCTCAGAATTGAGATTCAATGTTTTTGATCACAATAGTAAAGGAACTATTACAGAACAAGCTTTTACTGTTCAGGTGTAAACATTGTGCTCCATCCCTGTGTTTGAACTCAGAAGATGCTTCTTGATGCCACAGATGTGATGATTTAGCTTGTTTATTTATTTTACTCCAGAATAAGAGATTAAATTCTTACACAAGCAGTTCAGTGTAGTTAAATTAGTCATGGTGTGTGTGTGTGTGTGTGTGCGCACGTGTGTGTGTGTGTGTGTGTTACATATATAGGACTGCATGAGACAGCGGGGTTTCATCAAATCCATGCATCTTAAAACTTGGCTGAAGTAACGGCTCAGGAAAATAACATATTTCATAAATAATGACGTCTCTGCAGTGTTTATGATAATGTTTTATCTTATCTTTGGTCTGGGAGGTGTAACTTATCATGATACAAGCCTTTTAAAACCTGTTAAAGTGTTACAAGAGGAGATAAATGCATGAATTTAAAGTTCATGTTTGGAGACCAACCTTCACAGTTTGGAGGCTCATGCTGGTGAGGAGACACCTTTAGTTTTAGTAACACCTGGGCTCCCAAGGCCTGTTCTGACAGGATGGATGTTACGGGACCCTTAAGGATTCCAGTTGGATGATTGGAGGATTATTTAGGAGGATTGGAATGAACTCATTTCAGTGGTGAAGGGTTAAAGGTATTGGCTCGGCATTAAAATTGTAGAAATGCAAAATAACTACACTTTACCATCTCTATAAACATGTACTGGGTTCAGTTTTTTATTTTGTTAAGGACTTTTGTCATAAATCATTACAGAAAATCCAAATCCTCTCCTCCAGACAGTGAAGAACTGTGTTTCGCATACGTCACTCCAGCACGTAAAACAAGCCAGCTGCTGATGCTCTTATTGTGAATCACTGTTATTTGTTTACTTTCATGCTCCTAATTATTACGTAAAATTGCATTTACAGCTGCAGCAAAAGGTCTGAGCCATGTGTCCGTGTCCTACACGCATTTTTAAATAACAAGTACTGAAGAGAAATTTTGGATTATTCTTATTCTCCTCAATTAGCGATGAAAAATAAGCAGTTCTAGCTTGTTGAAGCTTATTTTTGTAAAGCACAAGACTATTTTTCCAGGATAAGTAGGACTCCTCCTGGTGTGTAGAGCGCCATGTTCTCTCTAATTTTCTAGAGTTTTGTTTTAAAGTTTGTAAATGAGAATTAAACCAGGGAGCCAACTTCCTGTGCTTAATTACCTTCTTTTTTAAAGGGGCAACATCATCTAATGCCACACGAAAAAAAGGAGTAACATTATGAACTAAGACGTCAATTTGTGAAGGGCTAGAAATAAAAAAATTGCCCTCTGCTACGTTACTCTGAGATGCTGAGGACAGTAAAGATGGAACAGTTGATTTAAAAGACGCAACAGCGTTGTCAGATAGGGACCGACTATAGTGAAATTTACTTTCATGTCTCGAGAACTCAGTTATATAATTACAATAATACCAGAAAATTTTGATCTAGTATGTCTAATTTTTCTGACAAAGCAACACAGGCTATTTGTAGTATTACGACAAAACAAACTCATAGTCTTCCAGCTACCACTATCAGTATGTTGAAAATGTTTTGTTGTGTTTTTATATTTTTTGATTTGTTTGTTTTTAGGTGAGGAGGTGAAGAACCCTCAGAAGTCTGTTCCTGTGGGTATTGTGGCTTCACTTCTGATCTGTTTCTTGGCCTACTTTGCGGTGTCCGCTGCCCTCACCCTGATGATGCCCTACTATATGCTCAATGAGAAGAGCCCCCTTCCTGTGGCCTTTGAATATGTTGGCTGGGCCCCTGCAAGATACGCTGTGGCAGCCGGATCATTGTGTGCCCTTTCCACCAGGTCTGAAACCACACAGTCTACAAAATACCTACCAACATGTAATGTGACACTGTTGGGTTGGTTATGATTCATTTACTGATTTTGGTCATGTGGAAACATTTCGGTAGATAATTATTGTGAAATGTTATTCATTCTCAGTGTTGCTGCAAATGTTCTTTTAATGCCTGCAATCAAATGTCACAGTTTCACATTTTTTTGTCTTTGAAAAGACATACAACCATGGCCCCCAAGGCATTGTGGGTGTTGGGTTATGGAAGTATGGGACGTTGTGGGGAAATGTAAGGGCATGTAGTTCCCTGCAGAAACAAAGAAGTAGTTGAATTCACATTTTTGACTAATATGAGGTTCTTCTGTGTACAGCTTATTTACTAAATATTTCTGTAGCTGCAAATTTCTTTGCACACAACATTGAAGTTAGATGATTTAATCTGTTGGTGATTTTTATGAGAATATAAAAAAGTTTACAGTTTTTGGTAGATTTTTCTAGCATTTACTCAGTTGTTTCTACACTCTAAAAAAAGTTGAACAAACTTAAAAAAGGCAACCAGCTGCACAGCTTTTTTGAGAAAACTCAACAAAGGCATTTTTTGTTGTGTGAACAAGAACTAAGATGTTAACTGAAATATCAATCTTAAGTTGAATAAATTTAAAATCGCTCTTCAGCTCTACTTCTGTTTTTCAGTTGAAGCAACCCATGTATTTAAGTTAAAAGAATTGAAAAAAAGTTGAGACAACATGTTTACATTTGTTGCCTCAACTTACTTGTATGAGTACTTTTAACATAAAGTTTTAAGTTGGTAAAACTTAAGACTTCAACTCAAATATACTCATACAAGTAAGTTGAGGCAACAAATGTAAAATACATTGATTCAAATTAGTGTTTTGAGTAAATCTGACCTTGATTCTTAAGTTTGCCCAACATATTTCGGTCTCATACACATCCTTAATGTAGGTTCACACAACACAACTTCTTTTGTTGAGATAACACAAAAATGCTGTGCAGCTGGTTGCCTTACTTTTCTAAGTTTACTGAACTGCCTTACTTTTTAAGTTTACTCAACTGCTCATTCTTTAAATAAAATGTTTGCAGTCAGGGATTAACATATCACATCAAAAGCATATTGTGTATTTAGGGAAACATTTATTTGTAACATTGCAACATAAGTTATTCTTTGTATCGACATTCCAATAGCTGTATGAGGTTAATTTCCTCAACAAACAATGCAACAAAAATAATAAAATGGAAAAATCCAATTCCTTAAGAGACTACAGCAAAAATTAACTAATGCACCTGAAAGGCACTTAATGGAAGATGTAAACAAAAATATGCCACATCAATTACACTGAAAAATATCTTTCAACTCATCCTGGATATTCAACTCTAAAGTACAAGGGAAAATTATGGATAATAGTGTTACAAACTGCTGTGGCTACCTTGTAATCTTGTTATGGTAACTTTGAAATGTTAAAAAGAAGTAGTAGAAAAAGCTGCATGATTCTGTACAACAATAACCCCCTGAAGAAGGCATTTTAACATCCAGAAAATATTCATTTAAAAGCATTTTTGAAACATTAAATATTTGTTAAACATTAAAACAACGTGCTTTTACATTTTCACAAAAAAAAATTTAAAGACTGCTTGGCACCTGCCAGTCTTTAAGATCTGTAAGGCTGATGAAGACTAAGAAACACGGAGTAGTCAGCACACTTATTATGTACAAACAACCACCTCTGAACAAGCCATTTTAACATTCAAACTATTCTTTAGGGCCTGGACTCTGGCTGAGCAGTCAGTTCCCAGATTGAGGAAAACCTTTTGAATGGCCTCTAGCTTAAGTCCTTTGGATAGTACAGGTTAAGATCATGTATGAGGCTGAAGTGAAGTGCAAATGTAGTAAGGAAACTGCTGATGTCATCAAGGACAATCTGCTTCTCAATAATCAGGGCAATACTTCTTGTTGTTGGAAATGAGTTAACTGTTCTAACATCATCTTCGACAACCATGAGAATACCAAGTTCCATGCCTTGGACAGCCAAACCTCATGGGTCAGAATCCTGCAGAAAAACAGAAAAAAAAGACATTAATTTCTTTTTATTTTAAAATAAAGGATTATCAACCATTATTTTGGGATAATGACACCTAAAAATACAAATCTTAACATTCCACAAAAAAAATTATAGTACTGTAGAATAATATAAATAAATGCAGTGTATAAACTACAGTAGTTAGATTTCTGTCATGAAATTCTGCAAGTAGTATATAAAAAGGCGGATTTGGAAAGATCCATAACTTTTTTGTTTGATTTTGTGCATCTGTTGGCAGCAGAGGACAATGTCACTCTACTGCCCACATCCCCCTCACCGACGACACGGTCTTATTCCACAAAAATAAACAATCAACGATGAACTAGAGCAGGGGTGCCCAATCGTGGTCTTGGATAGCCGGTCTCCTGCATGTTTTAGTTTGAACTATGTTTCAACACACCTGATTTCAATCAGAAGCTAATTAACTCATTCACTGCCAATGATGATTAAAGTCGTCATTTGCATTTTTTTTACTGTGTGGGCATTGGAACGAGCCCCCGCACCACGTGAACAAACATCTCAGCTCTAAAGCCGATCTTCATCCACATACGTCACAAGTCATGTGATCAGGAAGCAGAAAATCCACGTGTTAGGAGATCGTTTTGAGCCGCTGCTGTAAAAAAAGAGAGGCGATTTGGCATCGACATGATCTTAGTGTGCAACGTTCTGTGACTCTTAAAACAGTTAAAATGGCAAGAAACGCTGGCAGCGAAGGACTTTACCGATCAGGAAACGGCCGGCAGCAAATGAGTTAACAGGCTTCTGCAGAGCCTGATGAGCTGATGCACAGGTGTTTCAACCACCGAATCAAGTCTGTTGGAGCAGCAAAACCACAAAACCTGCTGAATACCGGCCCTCCAGGACCAGGATTGGGCACCCCTGAACTAGTCTGCTTCTAGATCTGCAGAAAGAGAAAAACAACACACAACAATACAACAAGAGCAAGCTATCACTGCGTCAACCTGATGAGGAAATATAAAATCATCATTGTTTTACTGAACAATCACACAATAATAAATCACAGTGCATTTAGTGCCAGCCATAGCCTTAAGACATGTGTTGAAAGTGCCCAAGTCCATACTTATGAGAGCACCGTGTGAGCACCTGTGTGCGTACACGCACTTGTATATGTAAGGTTTCTCTATAGGAGCATCCAATAGAGAGTGTGAGGGGCCACAGATCTGCCAGGTGAAGATGTGCAGCAGCACAAGAATTCCCAGGGGAAGGGAGGAGTCCAAGACCCCACCTGACATCTACAGTCATACACAGACACAGTCACACACTCCCTCCCTCATGCTCACAGAGACACATACAAACCAAGACTTACAAAAATGAACGCTAGAGAACTACTTACGCTCCCCATACACACTCTAGTCCCGGTACTGCTGGACAAAGGGTACAACCCGGCCCCACCCCAGCAGAATATCTATTCCCATCCCTGCATTTGCACAACTTCCACAATATGTAAGACATAGACATCCAGGAAAGATCTGGTCCTCCTTCTCCTGGACATCCCCCTTCCCCGTGATGGGACAGAATTGTTAATATTTCAGAGGAGCCAAGGTCCACCTGAGGCCCCCGAGCCTGGGTCAGGCACTGTTTTCGCTTTCTTCCTGGCAGCATACAAGTCAGGACCCAATCCCCAAGGCCCCACCCAGATCCCTGCATGGGGCCGGCCGCCCCCACACCCTGAGACCCCAGGCCCCCACTCAGACCAAGGACAAAGAACATTGAGAAAGGAGGTTACACACTGCATCGTTCATGGGACAGTTAAGGCTTTCACACTAGCATTGGCTCTATGCAGCTTGGACTGGGTATAGAATGTTTTCATTTGGGTAGCCGGGGGTTTGCTGCGTGCAACTGGTCATTTTTTCTAACCATCCTCCCGCGGCGGTTTTCTTGGAGTTAAACTGGTCCAACACACCCACTGCTGACTGACTGTCTGACTCAAATAGCCCTTGCAGACACTGCGTGGGCCAGCTTCATCTGGATAGCCTCAGCCGGACCCAGCCTGGCCAGACTGATACAACACATCCTTGATTAGGACTGCGGCCGTGACTGAGCATAAAGGTTGATCTTTAAAATTGGCGTCAAGATTTCTGTGATGCCATGATTGCATCTCAGAGCAAGTGGGTGGGGAAAAAACGTGCAGGGAAGTCAGCAGGGATTGGTTTACTCCACACAAAAAAAACATGAGGTGATGAGTATACAGTGTAATGAGATCTGTATGATATACAGAAATACAACTGAGCAGCCAGCACATGATATTTTACTCTGCTCCACGAGAGAGAGACATGCACGCAAAGAGACATTTTGCCCTCATACTTCTCCGTCTTGGAGAGTTGCAGAACTATTCCCCGGCAGGACAACAGAGGACGTAGCGCTGTTCTGTGGTATCCTGTAATGTATTTGGTCCAAATTAGTGCATTTACTATTGTGTTTTTTGTATTTCAGAGACTTTAACACAGACAAATTTGTCTTATTCTCCTCCACCTCTTCATGTGCACCTCTAACCCCACATTTCCGTTCACGAATAAAATTCTTGCTGAGCATATTCTTACTCCTCCAGTAACGGGGTGAACAAAACACTGCAGTGTTAGCTCACCAGAGGCACAGCAACATTACAAGGTCCTAGTAAATAGTTACTACATCTCACATTATGTTTTTTAAAGAAAAAGTCTGACAACCTCCCAGCTGGCTTTAAAAGGAAATATGTTTCAACAAATGTGTTCTTTCCATCATGATTAAGGCATTAGACTGTTTTGTGATTATTTCTCAGTAGAATTCTTACATAGTGCTCCTTCAAAGTATCAAATAAAACACATTGAAGAAGATTTGAAAAAAGGTTTGCATTTTCCAAAGAACAGCGCAGGCCATCGATTCATCACATCAAACATGAGGGGTTCTTCTCCCACTATATCCTTACTCCTCACAGAAAAGTATTTTCCATTCCAGAGTCGATTAAAGCCTTGTTAGACATTCTTTTTTTTTTGTCTCCTCCTCCAAAGTCTTCCTCTCCCTTTCCAAGGGGTCTGGAGGAATTAGTTTGCTTTAGTATCTTATCAAAGAATATTCTAGTTTAATTTAATTAGTTTTTAATACTTACAGTTAAAAATTGTTAAGGCCAGTGCAACAAAGAGATTGGTGTTTTTTCTCTATTTTGAGTGAGAAATATTACCTAATTTACAACATAGATAGATAGATCACACAACACTATATTGGAGCAGGCGGAGGGAGACTAGGGGTCTTAGCGCACCTCTGTTGTTGTTGTTGCTTGGCTTCCTGGGGCTGGAGGCTAGGAGGGAGATCTGGTTGGGGTCTGGGGTAGTGGATTGCTGTGCGCAGTGTTGGGCGGGGGAGCCTGCTCATCAGCACCCCAGCAGAAAGGGTCAAACTCTGGTTACCGGTAATGGTTGTACCCCATGTGCAGCAGTACCGGGACCAGAGTGAATAGTAGGGATGAGCGAGTACACCACTATCTGTATCTGTATCTGTTCAACCAACTAAATTATCTGTATCTGTATCTGTACTCGGAAGTGGGAGTGGCATAACCCGGAAGTGGGCGTGGTTTAACCGGAAGTGGGTGTGGTTTACATCAATGTATTGTTTTAAGTCTGAAATTGATATGGATTGATCAGAAGTTGCTATGTGTATTGTTTATTTGAAAACTATTTACAGAGCAGCCTCAGAATTGAGATTAAATATTTTTGATCACAATAAAGAAACTATTACAGAACAAGTGTTTCAATAAAATCAGAACATTAATATTTAGGTGCATGGATTAATACATCTACATCCTAGTAGGAACTAGGAAATATGAAATGCTAGAACCAGACACAACTTTACTATTATTTTTTTTTATTTGATTAAACAGATTTTTTTCTAAATGTTCTTGGCATTTTCCCACACAAAGTTAAACAAAACAATGTTGATTAATGTGTGCGTGTGTGTGTGTGTGTGTGTAGGTGTGTGTGTGTGTGTGTGTGTGTGTGTATGCACACACATAGAGAGGGAGAGAGAGGGAGTTCAAAAAAATTAAAAACCCGACCAGAGCGGAGGTAGTGACAACAGCACGTCAGCTCTGTCTTGTCAAATGCACCATGTCAGTTATGAAAAAAGTAACTTTAAATAATCAACCGAAAAAGAGGCGAGCTGAAGAAAACCTAGGGAAAACTGAAGAAACGTGAGAAACAGTGAAGCAATCACAGCGAGATCCGTTACTGTCTGTGTGTGTGCGTGAATGAACAGGACGGACGGACTGCGCTCCCGGCCGGCTGCAGTTTTGTGTGTAGGGAGGGGGCGGGCACTCTATGTGACTGGCCAATCACAGAGCGTGAAGACAGTCAGTTGCCCAATGAGGATTTTCCTTCAGCACGATTACAGATATTGACTCGTTTTACTCGTTTCATGCTCGTATTCGTCAAAAATGCTTTATCCATACCGGATACTCGTCTGAAACGAGTATCCGGCTCATCCCTAGTGAATAGGGTGCGTATGGGGAGCATGAGTGGGTGTCCGGCATGCATTTTTGTAAGTCTTGGGTTGAATGTGCATGTGTGAGCATGAGGGAGGGTGTGTGACTGTGTTTGTGTATGACTGTATATGTCAGGTGGGGCCTTTGACTCCTCCCCTCTCCTGGAACTTCTTTTGATAATAAAGATCTTCGTCCCCCCTCCCCCTGCCACACCTGGTGTGAGGGGTTGTGCCTTGGTCTGCCTGAGTGTTCGTGGCAACCGGGTCTGGGGGTTTAAGATTTTGGCATCTGCCTGATCAATCCCGGTGGCTGCCTGGTTGGGTCTGGGTCCCTGGGCTCTGCTGGGTCCCCAGCGGGGGTGGTCGCCCCTGGGTCCCGGGTCGCTGGGTCCCGGGCTCGGCCGGCTAGGGGGTGGGAGGCTACGGGCGGGCCTGTGGGCTTGCCGCTGATATCTCCCGGGACTCTGCCGGCTGCTGGTTGTGGCCCCCGAGGGCGATCCTCTGTGCCTCTCGAGGGGGCGGGGGCCTTTCTGGTTGCAGTCTCCTTGGGGTTCCTGTGTTCTGGGACAGCGCCTGGATCTCTGGGACTTGGAGCTCCCCCCGTCTCCTACGCATCTTTGGAGGGCGGATCTGTGGTCCCTCACACTCTCTGTTGGACGCTCCTATAGAGAAACCTTACATAAACAAGCGCGTGTACACACACAGGTGCTCACATGGTGCTCTCAAAAGTATGGGCTTGGGCACGTTAAACACAGGTCTTAAGACTATGGTGGGCACTTAATGCACTGTGATTTATTATTGTGATTCTTCAGTTAAGCAATGTTGATTATATATTTCTTCATCAAGTTGACGCAGTGATAGCTTGATCTTGTTGTATTGTTGTTGTGTCCCATTTTTTTGTTCTTTTGCTGTTTTTTGTCTTTTTCTGCAGGTCTAGAAGCAGACTCTTGTTCATTATTGTTTATTTTTGTGGACCCCCCCCCCCCCCACCACCACCACCACCACCACCTTTTCTTTTCCTTTCTCTTTCACCTCTGTCTCTGTGTCTGGTCGGAATTACAAAGCATTCAAAAACAATAACAATAAAGTTTTAAGTATCAGGTGTGACATTAAAAGCAGAAGCTTTGATGCTCCACCTGAGAGTAAATCTGTAAGGCTTGTTACCAGCATTCAGACATCAATTCTGTTTGCTTCACAGCCAGACAGGACACGGTAAGAAAAAAAAAAAAAGATATATACTTACAGAAAACATTCCTAAAACTTAGGTCTTCGTGCATGGTATTGGCATGTCCACTTGAACACTAAACGCAGCACTTCTCTCCTAGACATGTTTGGTTCCACAAAAACGTGTGGCGCCGTCCACTAGGGAAAATGAGCGTGCACAACGGTTACCTAATTTCGACAGACAGCGACATAAAACGAGAGATTTCAGAGAAAATACTAATGATGCTGGACGCTTGGGAATAAATAAACAAAATAAAAGCATTCCCCAGTCAAAAATGTAGAGTACACTTAGATGGTAGAAAGCTAGAGCAAACACACACTTTCACTTAAACAAGAATTAGCCTTCGCTAGCTTGGCCTTAGCCAGTACAAAAGTCAATATACCAGTGCGTTTTAGTACTTAAGGCATTTGAGCGGCAACCAGCAACATAAAGTTTATATAATAAAGAGGCTTACCTGATCAAACAGCGTCAACGTACAGCATTATATTCAGAACAACGGTGCTGTGCGTCTCGTCCGAGTTCCGTGTTTCGTTCTCGTTCCGCTCTGTGTATCTGTCTCGCGCTAACCTGGCTTCCGGAAATGACGACTGTCACTAAATTCTTGAATTTCTCGAACTGTATGCCACCTATCGATCAGGCGTCTGAATTGCGTTTCGTTTCTCACTTAAAAGGATGTGGAACTTTTCCACAGTTGTTTTTTTATTTGTTCCAAAAACATAATTTAACAAAATACAAATAGATTAAACAACGTGAGAACAAACGAAGTATGCAATTCAGTGGAATACATTTATGTGAACAATCATAAAGGGGGATTAATTATACAAATACATGTAAAGCTATACAAAAATCAAATGTTTTGAGAGCCTTTTGTGAGAAGATAATAATTGTCTGTGTAGATTTACATCATTAAGGAAATGGGAAAATTCGAAATAAATTAGCACATAAAAATAACACATTTTTTGTTAAGACATTCATGCTTTATTTAAAAACATAAGAAATTAAAAATTGGTATGAGTGTGGCTTACTATTTTGTGCAAAAGTACTTTAGTTAATGTAACTAAGATAAATTAAAAAAAATTCTGCCAGTGCTTTGAAACATGACTTTTTTTAGGATTAACTCATGTTTATGAACTTATTTTTCACAGTCAGTTTAATATTAATGGCATCAGATTGGCATGTTAAACTAAAATGCTTACACACACATTAAAACACAAACATATATGAATGCAAATATATACATGTAAGTATTCATTGTATTCCCATGGATAAATTACATGATTTCCCAAACTTAAACAAAGTTTACCATGCGTGGTGTCCTTTGTTTCCTTTCTGGATGCACCACTCATTACCTAAAGTTGTCTCAACTGAAAAATGTTGTTTAAATGAACAACTACTTTGTGGACTTCACATTTTGATTAAGTTAAACTATTTTAGAAAAAAAAAAAGGCCAGTTAACTTAGAAATATGTGTTATAATGACAAAACTGTAGTTGGGGTTTTTAGAGTGCAGCAGGAGAAAGAAGTTGTTGAGAAGTTATTCTTCCATTACAGCCCAGTTTAAGTATAGTTTTTTCTTTATTTTGTCACTCTAGCCTCCTGGGAGCCATGTTTCCAATGCCCCGGGTTCTGTTTGCCATGGCAAGAGATGGACTGCTGTTCCAACCTTTGACTAAAGTCACCTCTAAGGGTAGTCCTGCTGTAGCTACTATTGCATCCGGAGCTGTGGCAGGTACAGGCGCTATATCTATTACTGCAGAAAAGTAATTGGGGCCAATTGACTTACCAGTCTTTTCATTCTTGCCTTCTTATCTTCAGCAATAATGGCTGTCCTCTTTGATCTGGAAGCCTTGGTGGAAATGATGTCCATTGGTACTCTGTTTGCATATACACTTGTTGCCATATGCATTCTTATACTAAGGTATAATTGTTTGATTCACAATTTTAAATGCATATTTGTTAAAAGAGAGGTTTTGTGATTGATTGAAAACTTCTGACTTTCCTCTGTACATAAGATATCAGGCCGATTCATCTGAGGATTCAGATCTAAAGATTAGAGAATCAAACTCGAGGTTTGCCTTTTTGAATCCTCCGTCTTCTCCCAACACATCCACTGCTCGAACAGTCACAATATTGACTATAATCTCTGGTAAGTAAGGAATTGCAGATTTAATTAGGGATCTTAAGTATTTGTTTAATTTAATATTTCTCTAGTATTTAATTTCATGTTGATGTTTGTTTGTTCTTTTGTAGTTGTGTTTGTGGTTGTGCTGTGCATCATCTTGTCTCAGGCCATTGATGCTCTGTCAAATGTGGAGGCATGGAGCGTGGTACTTGTCTGCATTGTTGTTGTCATCTTGCTGATTCTCTTATTTTTCATCTGGAGGCACCCACAAAATCCAACAAAGGCGTCTTTTATGGTGGGTTTACAACACTTGTACAAACCATTCAGCAATGAATAAAAATCTCTGATATCCAATGTTCTCGTTACAGGTACCTTTACTTCCTGCTCTGCCTTTAGTGAGCACACTAATCAACATTTACTTAATGGTACAACTAGGTTCAGACACATGGCTGCGATATGCAATCTGGATGTTAGTTGGTAAGAGTTTTCCTTTAATGCCCGGAACACACCAGCTGTGAAGTGCCGCCAAGTGGATCGCTCATGAAATTTGTGCGCTGTCCACTTCTCCTGTTTTCACAACAGGCGAGAATTTTCAATGAGCGCTTCTGCTCACACCTACTGTTTTCCAACACCCCCCACCCCACCCTCGTGCCCTTGCTGTGTGTGTGTGTGTGTGTGTGTGTGTGTGTGTGTGTGTGTGTGTGTGTGTGTGTGTGTGTGTGTGTGTGTGTGTGTGTGTGTATGTGTAACCAGTTTGCCCCGCTTGTTGATAACGGAAACTGCGCTGATCCTGCTGCTGTGTATTTCTTTGTATTCACATTTATCTTTTGCTGTAAAAACTGCATTCAAAATTATGGAAATGCTATGTTTTCTCCACAGGAGTGTGTGTGTGTGTGTTGGTTCAGTTTAATCTCTCTATCTGTTTAGATACACAAGAATGCTCACATTAATCAATTGTGGTGTTTTATTTTGAAAATTTTCTTTTATTTTGTTAAATTTACTGGCCTGCCTCTTCTGCTTTGGTTTGACTTCCTGCCAAAATTGACGCGGCTCACGAAAAAATAGAGCTCACGCCGAAACGATCGCTGCACGGCGCAAGCCTTTGTGGCACTTTTGCTGCGCTTTGCAGCTGTGACCGAAAGAGTAGGTTTAACAGGGGCGCTGATTGGAAGCGCTTGTCGTCCCACGGCGCTTCGTCACGCTTCCCCATCTGGTGTGTTCCAGGCATAAGGGTTGCAAGTCTCTTTCATATTGACTATTGGACTTGTAAATATTCTCTTCATCTCTTTTCAGGATTAGTGATCTATTTTGGTTACGGAGTCCGTAACAGTGTTCAGAGGAAGCGTTTGATGGCCAACCAGACCGTGATTGAAACAGTCAGCAGCAAAACAGACAAGGACATAATAAAAGAAGAAAAGTTCTGATCTCAGATGGAGGGAAGGCAGACGAAATGAGATGTTACAGTGATTAACTGCTTTGAATGTGTACCAAATATTTGTGATGCTTATCCATTTCTCTGGAGTTTTTAGTCCGGGAATGCAAGTAAAACAATTTATGTAGTAAAATGCAGATAGCCTTGGAAAGGTTTTTTTTTTTTTACAATAAATTGCTGCTTCATTACACAATAACATTTCGATATGCATAAACCCTTTCTCCATCACAATCTGAAAACCTTTGAAACATTTCTGCACTTTTAACACACCACGACAGAGAAAGGTTATCTGTATAAAAAAAAAACAACAACAACTAGCACATATTTAAACATACATTAAATTATTGAATACATTAAGCCCTTGCCCTACCTTGCCCTTTTGTGTGTAAATACCAGCTCCAAAAGCCTATTAATCTGCCCCAGATGTACTTTACTGATGTACAAAATCTGTACATAATTAACTTATATCATACCACACACAAATAGTAACATGTGTTTTTTTTTCACAGCACATGAATTTTAAAATTGTTAGTTTGTTTTATTTCATTTTTTACATTTTTAAATTATTAGACTAAAGCAGTAGTAGGATATACCGTAAATCCTCTAATATTGGCCTGTATTCAATTAACGGCCGGGTATCACATTTTGGCTGGTGTCGGAGTCGGCGGAGGTGAATAATGGCCGGTTTTTTATTGTGGCCGGGTGGAATGTGGTAACAAGCAAGTGCCACAGGGGGGCGGTTGTGTCATCCGTCTCACTTTTGATTTGCCAGTGATAGACCGCAAGGGTAACTTTAACTGTGCGGAGACGAAGAGGAGGCGAAAATTTTATATCAACTTCAAAGAGAACGTGCTGATTGTGCTGCGGAACACTCTGGGGAGCAGTAGCAGGGGTTGTATGAACTAGTCACTAGTCGACTTCACCGCTCTATAGTGACTTTTTATGCCTGTCATCGACTAGTCGCTGTCACGTGATAATGACCGGCAAGATGCAGTCCTCGGAAAAGACAGCATCCTGCTGTCAGCAGGTGACAAGCTCCTGTGCGTCGGGAGGCTACGCGCTGTGCCAGAGCGTCGGTACTGACACCCGCCGTAAAACGGACATTTAACAAAATTGTGACCTTTACCCTCTTGCAATTTAACCTTCCCCTCACCCCCATCCTAACCTTAACCAGCTTGCACATGCAAAGCTCTGATCATTGACGCGCTCCAGACATCTGCGTCCTGAGCATGGCCACAGTAACATTATCAAATCAGGTGTCGCCACCTCAAAAACTAATTTAACACGCGATCGTTCATGTCGGCTCATTTCCTTTTATGTTTTCTGTCTTTTATTCTTTTATTTGTGCCTGATGCCTTTCGCTGTTGTGGATCGGGGCGCATCACCTGTTTTGTCCTCGGTGACACATCTAACTGATGTGGTCGGCGAGCAGCGCACACTCTGCTGTTTTTGCGGTCGGTAGATCTTTTAGAACTGCAGTTCAAAGGTAACTCATAAGGTGAATATATATGAAGCCAGGTAGCAGTTTTTCTTAAGGACTGAGAGGAGATGCAGGAAGATAATAAACAGGCAGGACAGAAAAATAGTCAAATAAAAACAAGTTTTTGTACCTGGTGGACACCACTGAAGGTAATCAGAAGTGAGGAACAGAAAATGAAAAAATTATTTTAATGTTTAGAGCAGCAGGAACTCCGAGAGGCTGCAGGCGCATCAGTGAGTTTGCGGCCGCTGCGCAGGGGGAGGGGGGAGAGGGCTGAAGCAGAAACTACCGTTGTTAAAAGAAATGTGTTTAACTTTGAAAATGTGGGCGCAATTTTAATTGTCAAAAACTCCAGCAAACCTTTTAGTTCATTTTGCTCAAATAGAAATTGAGGCCTGCCTATAATTCTGGTCCTCCTTCCAATAAAGGCCTGGAGCGTGATGAGCTTGAGTCAAATACAGGCCCGGGCCTGTATTAGAGGATTTACGGTAAGTATGGAATACCCTTAGTGGAGCATCACATTTCTTTAGCCTTTTTATGTGATGCATTTAAAGATTTCTGTATTGAGTCTTTGCCTGTGAATATATTTGCTATTTTTATTGCTGTAAATATTCCTTAATAAAGAAGAATCAGTCAAATTGTAATGCTAACTGTCCTCTGAAGTTACTGGATTTCAAGGTATATTCATCTATTAATTTTAGGAGTTTAAAGAGAGTTTCTGTGTACTCTGAACAATCTGAATTTGGAGAAATAGAGTTTAAGTCTGACAGATAGGACCTGTCAGACAAACTCAATGCTCCTCTGCAGTGTTGCCATGAAAGCATTTCATTTATATTATAATTATTATAAGTGACAATAAGCAAACGTTTATTTAATGATTATTTAACTTATAAGTTTTAAAAGTTCTTCTGTCTTGTGCTGTGAATAGATACCATAGAATAGAACCAGTCTTAGATCAAAGTGAGCCTGGAAGGACCTTGACGCAACAGTCTCTTCTGTAGATTAAAGCTCCAGTTGGAGACTTACAGTTGTGGTCAGAGGTTTACATACACTTGTAAAAAAATATAATATAATGGCTCTACTGAGTGTCCCGTTATTTCTAAAACTCTGATTTTTCTCTGATAGAGTGATTGGAATAGATACTTCTTTGTCACAAAAAACATTCATGAAGTTTGGTTCTTTAATGTCTTTATTATGGGTTAACAGAGAAGAGTGATCACATTTGCTGAGTCACAAATATACATACAGCAGTGCTAATATTTGGTTACATGTCCCTTAGCCATTTTCACTTCAATTAGGCGCTTTTGGTAGCCATCCACAAGCTTCTGGCAAGCTTCTGGTTGAATCTTTGACCACTCCTCTTGACAGAATTGGTGAAGTTCAGTTAAATTTGATGGCTTTCTGACATGGACTTGTTTCTTCAGCACTGTCCACATGTTTTCAATGGGGTTTAAGTCAGGACTTTGGGAAGGCCATTCTAAAACCCTTATTCTAGCCTGATTTAGCCATTCCTTTACCACTTTTGATGTGTGTTTGGGGTCATTGTCCTGTTGGAACACCCAACTGCGCCCAAGACCCAACCTTCGTGCTGATGATTTTAGGTTATGTTGAAGAATGTGAAGGTAATCCTCCCTCTTCATTATCCCATTTACTCTCTGTAAAGCACCAGTTCCATTGGCAGCAAAACAGCCCCACAGCATAATATTCCCACCACCATGCTTGACTGTAGGCATGGTGTTCTTGGGGTTAAAGGCCTCGCCTTTCCTCCTCCAAACATATTGCTGGGCATTGTGGCCAAAAAGCTCGATTTTTGTTTCGTCTGACCACAGAACTTTCCTCCAGGAGGTCTTATTTTTGTCCATGTGATCAGCAGCAAACTTCAGTCGAGCCTTAAGGTGCCGCTTTTGGAGCAAGGGCTTCCTTCTTGCACGGCAGCCTCTCAGTCCATGGAGATGCAAAACACGTTTGACTGTGGGCAATGACACCTGTGTTCCAGCAGCTTCTAATTCTTGGCAGATCAAGCTTTTTGGTGATTCTTGGTTCACTCTTTACCCTCCTGACCAATTTTCTCTCAGCAGCAGGTGATAGCTTGCGTTTTCTTCCTGATCTTGGCAGTGATGAAACAGTGCCATGCACTTTATACTTACAAACAATTGTTTGCACTGTTGCTCTTGGGACCTGCAGCTGCTTTGAAATGGCCCCAAGTGACTTTCCTGACTTGTTCAAGTCAATAATTCGCTTTTTCAGATCCATGCTGAGCTCCTTTGACTTTCCCATTGTAGCGTTTGTGGGCGTTTGTATCCAATGAGCCCTATTTACCTCGCCTAAGAGAAGTCACCAGCTGTAGTCACTCATAATCACTCACAAGAAGTTAAGAGGCCATGCTATGAAGCTCAGTTCACTGAGTTCTAAGTCACCAAAATTGCTAGTTCATGTTGCTGTATGTATATTTGTGACCCAGCAAATGTGATCAATTTTCTCTGTTAACCATAATAAAGACATTAAAGAACCAAACTTCATGAATGTTTTTTTGTGACAAAGAAGTATCTGTTCCAATCACTCTATCAGAGAAAAATCAGAGTTTTAGAAATAACGGGACACTCAGTAGAGCCATTATATTATATTTTTTACAAGTGTATGTAAACCTCTGACCACAACTGTATGTCTCCAAATGACCGATACTGAAGAGGTGACCTGTTGATTGAAAAACAGACCATTTCCGGAGGCTACATACCCCCCTTTTCAAGGACACGGGGTCCTGGCAGAAACCACGGGTCGTTGAATAATCCCAGAGGCCCTGGGGACTCAGTCGAAGAAGGAAAGGTTAGTTCCCAGGCAAAGGCATCAGGAGTGAGGAAAGGCAACCCCCCACACCAGAGAATAGTCAATGGTACTCCCAAACATGAAGAGATAATTCCAAACAGGCAATGATAATTCCACTTAACGTAATGCTTAGGCAGTAAGCAAACGAGCAAGGACCGGCCCCAGGCAAACCGTAGAACTCCAGCAACCACGGCAGGAACCACAGGATGTCCAGACCCAAACGAACCGGACCCACAGGCAGCAAAATCAGGCGACGAGGCCAAGAGGCGCTCCCAGGGAACGAGGACCACAGGTGAAACTCAGGAGAGGACATGCAGGGCACTTGAATGTAGACACACATAGATCACATCTGATGCTAAATAACAAATAAAAAGAAACCTAGCCCTAAATGTACCTATGTGCTATGTGAAAGCAAATTATGTGAACAGAGTTCAGGTGAATGAAATGGATGCTGTAAACTATGTGTACTGGATATGTGTTGCAAAAAGAACAAATTAACAAAACCCTATTCGTAAGGGGAAATCAACGCTTTGGAGCAAAAATGTTATCAAAACAGAAGGGCAAAATAATCTGTAGCCCATGACTGGTAAAATCAAAATAAAGGAGATCATAATAGAAATGACGAAAAGGAATCAGCTGTAATGAAATAAGGCAGAAATGTAAATCTATGGATATATCTTTAAAATAAGTAGTAATATAAAGAAGAAACACTAAAATATAAATCAGTGACATTAGTAATCAAACCTATTTGTGAATATACTCAATAAGGAATCAGAGATTAGTAGATAAAAATAAAAAGTGGAATTTGGATAAACACAACAGTTTATGGAATACTCCCTCTGACTGTTAAGACTTAACCATTACAGAATTCCAGGAACCCACAGCATGACCATCTCAAGTCACCCAAGTCTGCATGTCATGTATAGACAGGAAGTACAAACATGCTCACACACAAACACAAACAACTTGTGTAACTTGAAACAGAGAACTATGGGACAGGCGAACCTGGATAATTGAGATCACCCCCCTTTTGAAGATGAAGGCCTAACCGGAGGCACAGGAGGTGCAGGCGGAGGTTCAGGAGCGAGAGGTGCAGGTGGAGGTACAGGACCGGACGGCGCAGGTGGAGGCACCTGGGCAGCCAGGGCTTCATGAACTACCAGTAAGAGAGCTCGAGATAGGCGGCCACCGACGTTGCGGACCGAGTCCCCTAGAGAGGTCAACCGTGCAGAGAAGTGACGGAACAGGAACAACGCCAACCCCAGGATCTGCCGACAACTCACGCAGCACCCTGTTTACCGCACCAACCTGAACCATGGTCGGACCATTGAATGTAACACGATCCACCACAGCTGGAGAAAGATCAAAGGAGATATTATCATAAAAAGGAGAAAACTCCACAACAGACCTATGCTCACCAGGATGCAAGTAATATAGAGAGACCTCACCTACGTGGACCACAGCACTACGTGGAACTGTCACCCATAGGGTTTGAGACAGAAGCACAACACGCATGGACATGCCATGATGCTCATAGGAAACATCCGCTTCACGAGCAGGGGTATTAACCAACCAGCGTTCACCAACAACAACAGCCATAGATTGAACAACATGTGAACGTGGAGTTGCAGCCATAGGACATTTAGAATCTCCCGACAACTCATCCATGCCACACACACCAGTGGCACCGCCACGCAGAAAAGTTGTGCCTGGACACAAGAAGTGTAGGCCACGTGGGAGCGAACACACACGCAGATCCGGAACCAACCGGAACGACTGGAGGCATATGCAACTTGACAAAATTTATTGTTCTTCAACCAGAATAAAACTTGAGACTGTCCTGTTCTGCCCGAAATATAAACATGGATGTGCCCAAGGGATTGTCTCTCCTTCATTAGCGCCTTTTGAGAAGGACACCCAGGTCAATGGAACAATCAGATCCTGCTATTTCCATCTCAGGAGAATAGCTAGGATTAAGCCGCTGCTATCACGTAAACATCTGGAAACTGTCATCCACGCCTTCATTACCACCACTGGACTACTAAAACTCACTTTATGCAGGCATCAAGCAGGCCTCCATAACGAAACTACAAAAGGTCCAAAATGCGGCAGCCAGGTTACTGACTGGTACCAGGAGATCTGAACACATCACGCCTGTCTTGGCATCCCTACACTGGCTTCCAGTCTCTTAGAATTTAGTTTAAAGTTCTGGTGTTTGTTTTTAAATGTTTAAATGAGTTGGCTCCACGTTATCTGGCGGATCTGATCCATCCTTATGTTCCCGCAAGGAACCTTCAGTCAGCACAACAAGGACTGTTGGTCATTCCTAAACACAGACTACAATCTCGAGGGGGTCGTGCTTTCTCGGTGCTGGGAACGAGGCTCTGGAATGAGCTACCTATATGTGTTAAACAGGCCACCACGCTCAGCAAGTTTAAGAGCCAGCTGAAAACACATTTTTATTCTTTAGCTTTTATTCAAGAAGAGTCCCGTTAACGGATGGCTTTGCACTTTTTGCTGCCCCACCTAGATTTTATCTGCATGTTTTGTTGGTTTTTAATTGGTTTTATATGTTTTTTTTATGTTTATTTCTGCTGTGCAGCACTTTGTTTGGTCCTTGGGCCATGTGAAAGCACTACATAAATAAAGTTTTAGTTTGTTATTTAGTAGTTGGCGTGAGTGTCGTCAACCCAATTACCTACATTTACCACAGATGTCATCGGGAGATCCAATAGGTAAGATGAAAGCTAGCTCTCTAGCATCTGGATTGACACTTAATGGATAGCACTGCCCAATGAGGAAGCCAAGTGAGTCTGAAGTGCCATCGGGTCCTTCGATGTCACTAGAGCAATTGCAGACCAGACCATGGCCAGGGACACGAGGTACGGAGGGATCCTCCCCATGAGAAGGGTGGCAATCGAGGTGCTCACGTCCCGACCATAGTCGGACAGGCAAGTGGTCAGCATCTGTGTATGAGCATAATCAACATTCACAAAAGAATGCAATTCGTTCACAGCGGCAATTGTTTTATGGAAAATGTTGCTATGAGTGTTGAGTACCACCATAATCTGTTGTTCAGACATGCCCAGCTGTCTTAAAGCACGCCGTTGCTGCCGTACCTGCTTACACAGGGCCGGATATTCTCTGTTAAGCTCATCAATGTGTCGACGAACTGTGTTAATCTTGATCGAGTTGACTGAAGAGAATCTGAAATTTAAAAGAAAGCCAATTGTATTAGCCACTGAGAAAAATCCGTCCAGGAAACACTTCGGTCTAATGCTGGTACCTGAAAGATCATTGTTCGAAACCATGAATGTAAGCGCCTGGAATAGAATGTGATAGACGTCAGCTTCTGTGTGCTGCATCAGGGTACTAGTCTAGCTGGCTCCAGTTTCCAAGAGGTTGCTGAAGGAATTACCATCTTGTCAGTACACGCCATAGCGGGGTCAAATTTAACAAAAATCTTTAGTGTGAACAGGCAATGGTTAGTTATTATTAGACCTGGGCGGTCTCGGAGCATGACACCCGAAGAGGGCCCAGGTTCGTACAGATGCGTTAGAGTAGGCTGTGAATGAATCTCAGTTGTGGTCGACATCAGAGAGACACACGCAACTAGCAAAACATATTTTGTCAGTCCTGGAAACGGAAACCAAGAAGGTTTTAGACTGTAGACTGGTGCGGCCTTGTGAGGGTTCGGCGCAGGTGAGAGCTCTGGAGGGCCCTCGGTCGACACGCAGGTGCAGTCAGGGAGATCAGGGTCAGCCCGTAGTGGTACAGGGTGCCATTTAACCCCCCGTCTGGTAGGTGAGTCAACAACCTCAGGGGAAGAGGTCACCAGCACCAGCTATAGTGGAGTAGGGTCAGTGATGTCATGAGCCCCTCCTTCGGCAGGTGGGGTCTCCACTGCAAGGTGCTGGGCTTCAGCTGGAGTCTAAGCACCACCATCAACACCCCCCCCCCCCCCCCCCCCATTTCTTGATTCTCTGGAGAATCCTTTGCATTATCTCCTCCAGTGGTTCCACAGTCATCCCCAGAACAGAACCAGCCTTTTTTATTAGGCTGTTGAGCCTTTTCAGGTCCCTGCTAGGTTGCCGATATTACTTTTATCCAAAAATTTTTTTTAATTATTTTTGTCGTCGTCTTCCTCCGCTTATCCGAGTCCGGGTCGTGGGGGCAACATCCCAACTAGGGAGCTCCAGACCGTCCTCTCCCCGGCCACCTCCACCAGCTCCTCCGGCAGGACCTCAAGGCGTTCCCGGACAAGATTGGAGATGTAACCTCTCCAACGTGTCCTGGGTCGACCCGGGGGCCTCCTGCCAGCAGGACATGCCCGCAACACCTCCACGGGGAGGCGTCCAGGAGGCATCCTGACCAGATGCCCTGTAGGAGCCAAAAGTAGTGTTCTGTGTGTACGTGCAGTTTGACATCCTGTTTATCAGTCCAGCTTCTGTATACATGCAATTTGACGTCCTGTTTATCAGTCCAGCTTCTGCGTACGTGCAGTTTAACATTTTGTTTTTCAGTCCAGCTTATGTAACTTCCAGTAAGTCTTAAGTTCTAGGACCATATTGGGAAGTGAAAACAGCACCCCATCTTTTCCCGAAGTCAAAGGAATGTGGGAGTAATGCCAGGGACAAAAAGTATAAAATAAGCCTGCATCTTGGTCGCAGGAGGGCTTTTGCAGGAGGTTCCAGCCGAGGCTATCTTAGTTCCAGGCTGAATGCTGTCCCCATGAGTTGCTGGTGATATATTGCTGAATTGTACAAATAAATGCCCCACGCTGTGTTTGGACAAAGCTGTCTGACTCTTGTGTTTTGATAAGGCAAAAGAACCACATTTGGTGACCACGAAGGGGGAGTAGAGGCGTGCTCTTCGGATCGGTTCACGGTCCACGGAACTTGACTCCTGGGCCCTGATAGGTAAGAACAATTTTTGTTCAATTTTGGAGTTACTCTGTGGATTGTGAACTGGTCTGTGAGAATTACATGCCCTGCTCATAATTTAGAAGTTATAACAACAAGAGAAGGCACTTGTCCAGAGCAGTGGTGAAAAAATGTTCACACATTTGTGAAGTCAGCTGAGTCATTTTGATGACGGACAAATTTTAAGTGTCAAATTAAAGGTGGGACAGCAAATTGGAATAGAATTTTAACAGCTGATAAGGTTCTGAGTAATCCAGCCTGCTGACTCGGTAGAGCAGAGACGGGGATTTAAGATAACAGTTGAAGAAAAAGCGCTGAAGTTGTGACAAGAGATAAGCTTTGCCTGTAGTTCGGTTATTCCCCGGGGATTGGTAAATTTCATAAGAGTTGTTGGCAAAGGCATGTGAGGCCTGATGATGACGTCATAGTTTGCAGCAAAGAGGATGTGAAAACAAAGCTCCGGAGCTCGGGAGCTGTGTGTTGCTGGAGAAGTTTTGTGTTGCTGTGGAAGTTGTGTGTTGCTGTGTGTGCGCTGAGACCAGCGTGTGTGTGTGTATGAGGCGCCGATGGTAGAAGGAGGAGGAAGTTGGAAAAAAACTAGGAAAAGCCTTAAAGGCCCAATGTGTGATATTTCATCTTATAAGTTATCAAATTTCTTGTATCACATTCTCAAATTTGTTTTTTTTTTAATGATAATTCAAACAAGCATTTATTCTAAACATTATTATTAGCTTTATATTTTAATATTTTAGACAAAAGAAGCAGACCGGTGCTCCATATGGCATGCGCCATCTTAAAATACAGTGTCCTTTTAGGGACATACAACATATTAAGCTTCGCATTTGATGTTTGCGTTTTTAAATGATGTAACCTCAAAGAAACAGCAGGGGGCAGAAGTGCGCCTTGTAAGCATGCAGTCTGACAAAGTAACTAAGAAGAAGAAGAAACTAGCCACACCGTACTTCTAGCGATGGAGGATCACATATATTCTTCAAGCAAACTTGAGAAACGGGATAGTTTGTCTCATCCAAGTAAAAGAAAAAGGATTTTGAAAAGTGAACAAGACCGGCGTCATGAGAAAACCAGAGTAAATATAGGAGTTGCCTTCCCAAGATGGAGAGACCTCATGTTACAAAAGGGATTCAGTAGACACGCTGAGCTTGCTACCTTCCTTTTGGACAGGTAAGTTAAAAATGTGTGTTTAATTTCTTCATTGTAGTAGTTTTGTGCTTTGTGACACAAAGTTTGTGTGGAGTAAGCTAGAGTTTGGGAAAGAGCTCATGCTAACTAGTGCCAAAAATGTAGCACACCATCTTAAAACGTTACTACACGTTATTTAAGTTTGTCCCATTGTCGTGACAGAAATTCATTATGCAATTGTCCTATTTTTTAGATTCAAACGGAAGTACAATAAGAATGCCAGAAGGTACAGTGTGTATTCACTAAAATCAGAAAAGGGCTACGAATACATTCCAGTACTCCAATCAAAAATAATCAACGAGAGGTTGGCGAGAGGAGTCGGGATGCCTCGTACCAGATCAATGAGGGATGATGACCCCAGACGGCTCGGTCTTGTGCCACCCATCGCTCCACCACCTATTTCGGAGCTAGTGCAGATCCAAGTCAGCCGAGGTCTTGGTATGTGACATTTTAGCATCCTTTGACTACAGCTCAGTTCTTTACCTACACTTGTCTTACAATACTTTTTTCACAGTATCAGAACTCAACACAGCTACAGGCCTCCAGTGACGATCTTGTCTACATTTACATGGAGTATTCTATACCTGCTGCGTGTTACTAATGTAATGTACATAAAAATGTAGATATTGCACTTTGATGTCTTTCCTACTGTGCTAACATGTTGTTCTTTTTACTTGAAGTAGCACATAAATTCTGCACAGTCTTTTACGTTAGATCTATTCTTTATTATCCTAAAGTGTGTAAAATCATGTTTCAAGATTAAAATGTGTTCCAAATTTGTCTGTTCAAACTCTGAATAAGGTTAATTCAAATAAAAGTGCATCTGTACTAATTTCTTTATTTCTTATGTCTTTCAGAAAATTACATATTTTTTGTTTCATGACTTGACCCTGTAAGAGTGTAAATTAATAGCTCACTAATGTAATGCAAAACTATGGAGTTGTAAAGATGTGTTTTTTTTTCACATTACAAGAGTATACATGGCTGAAGAGTAGCCACCTCTAAATTTGTCATTATTGTACAACACTAACATTGGGGTTTAAAAAAATATTTATTTAAAATACTTATTCAACATAATAAATTACAATATAAGGGTGTACAAAATATCAGAAACACTTCAACAACCCATGTAAACTTTTGACCAGTTACACTCCCGGAAGAAAACCAGTATACTGTCCATGAGGGTCTGGAAATTTCTCCCTAATTTTGACCCCACAGCAACTTGGGATGACTCTTCGATTTCCATGTCCAAGTGACCCATGCTGCCAGAAAATGAAGTGCCGGTAGGCAGCATACCTGTATTCCCTGTTGTCATCGCCTGGTTCCCTAATCTGTCCTAATACGGTGAGGTCTGCTCTGTACTGACGATGGATCCTCAGGACACCTTCATCCAAACAGTAAAGTCTAAAATGGGGCAGAAGGCTTATACAGTTTACAGAGTCTTGTCCACAGCATTTGCGCTCTGCATCTGTTGGCATATCTGTGCAATTGCCACAAGTACACCATGTTAACGCAGGGGCCTGCACGGGTGTGGTGTGCCTATCTCGGCGTTGGTTGTTCAACAAAACATCAAAAACCAGACCTGGCTGTCTTTCCAAAAGTTGAGAGGTGAGATGACGGTGGTCCTCCAGGCTCATGCCCTGTACAAGGCGCTGGGGGGAAAAGTAGGATTAGAATTTTTGTAAGATTATTTTAATTGAATTACAGTAAAAAGCAATGTTTTGTAAATGTTTTAACAAGTTTATAAGAGTAGCTGATTAATAATATATATATTAAATGGCTAATTCCTAAAATAAAGGTACTATCAAAAACAAATAATATGTATTAGGAAAGAAGTAGGACACTGAATGTTTTACAAAACTACATATAATTCCAAACACTTGCTATACGGTTAAATAGAATTACCGTATGTACTTATATGAATGAAATGAGTGACAGGACGGCATATATTGACCCAGATAATTATTAATTTGCTCATTATCTTACACAAACCTCAATTTCTGCTCTTCTTTCCCTTTGAAGCTCCTCGACTCTCTCCTCATCAGCTCTTGAAAGCGCCGATCTTCTAGACTTTATTGCAGCTCTGCCTCTTCCTCTTGTGCGTGGGACGTTGCGGCTGGTTTGAGCAAATTCGGCTCCTTCATCTTGGGATGCTTGCCCTGCTTCTGTCGCATGTCTAACACCTCTGCCTCTCTGTGCGCTGGCACACGTCTGTCCTCTCCCTCTTCCTCACCCTCTTCCTCTCCCTCGTCCTCTGTCTTTCTCGACTGATGAACCATCGGATGATATCTGACTCTGTTTACGGAGAAAACAATTACAGACTACACTACCTTGTATATTTCCAAAATGGCAAATAGAAATATAACATTTCTCAAATAAAATGAACAAAATATTGTCATTTTTTGTAGTCAGAAGTCATCACTAACTAGCTGCCGTTTGCTATTAGCAAACATAAGTGACAAAAAAGTTTTTCTTATTCAAAACCTATTTAGATTAAATTAATAAAATAAGTTAGATGAAAACAACTAACCTGTTCGCTGACTTGAAAGCTGGAATTAGATGATGACATGCTGCCGTTTACAGCAACACGATTTTGTATTGTATTTGTTATATTTGTTAATAAAGTTTTAAATAATGATAAAAAAAACCTTTTTGATCCTCGGGGGCTCCAATAGCTGCAATACCGACTCTAAACTGCGTGGTGCTAAAGAGTCGGATCTTTTTACTATGATTTCTGTGAATTTCACACACGGGGCCTTTAAACGGCGTAAAACAGATCAACAATATTCACTGCAGTGCTAAATTTGATGTTTAAGGTTATACAAATTTCAAAGTCTGTGATCCTGTTCTGATTAGTCTTTAAACAGAAAATCAGAAGTTAAAAAATAATAATAATAATAAGTTTTTAAAGTGACATATATATAAATAAAAATATATACTGAAGTGCACACCCAGAGGAAAATTTTACTGCTCAGTGTTATCTTTTCTTAAGCTCAGGAGACAAAGATTTGACTCTCACTCTAGTCTCATTTCAGTTTTGTTATTTTCTCATCTATTTCTCCTAAAATTCACTAGGAGAAATAGAGTGAGACATAAAGTAAGGTATAGGAGTCATATTTGAGACTTTATAGAGACATCTTAGAGAACTTTTTTGAACCTTGTTATGTCTCCTTAATTACATCCCCTGAGGCCAAGGAGCAAAAATAGAGCTTCAGAGGAGATCTACATATACGTCTCCTTTGAGACCCCATCCATCCATCCATCCATCCATCCATCCATCCATCCGTTTGTTTGAAAAGCAAAGAATAAAACAAAATTCCAAACTACAAACTTATTTATTAGAAATGCCAGATGCTTAACTGCAGTTTTCAAAAAACATCCCAGAGGTGAGCTCTCAAAAAGCAAAATACTGCAAAGGCAGCCTAACAAAACTGACAGTCAAATTATATTTTTCAAATAATTGTTGTGTTACATAACATTTCTATAAGCTCTAAAAATAGCTTGAATATATTCCTGTGCGTAGAACATTTACAGAACCTGAACATGCCTGGTGTAAGTGCAACTTTAACAACAGTCATTGAACAGCTCTCGGCACAGCTGCATGAGAATGAAAAACAGAACAACTCACAGATTTTCAGCCCTCATGAGTTCAATTTCCTATTTTGCCATGTCTAGGTATTTTTGGCTCTCGTGCGACATTTGTTTATCAGTGCCTTTTTAACCTTAGTTTTCTCAACCGGTGTCCATCCAGCCAGAGTCCCACATCGCATGACGTAAGCTACAAGAAAAAAGTAAAGCATAAATAATAAATCCACTTACCACACATACAATTAAAGATTTGTGTTTATTATTTGAAATTAGTTGCCCTGAGTATATGAGAATAAGCATAGTTTTTTGAATGACACATTTTAACTACCTAAAATATCATATTTTAATGACTATTGATTCCATTCATTTGTTCTTATCATTACACATCTGAGTATGGGAATTTGATAACAAAACGCCACAAATCTAAACTTTAGAAAGTTCAATCAGTACTCACTTAGAATCCCATTGACTCTGGACTTGTCCAGGACCCTCTTCCCTTTCGGCACTTTTCCATGTTTTCCAAATGCCACTGCATTTTGGCAATCTTCTGGACTGAAGAACTCATCAAAAAGAAGATGGAACAAGTGGAGGCAGTCCTTCCTTGCCTCAGAGTGGATTGCAACCAGACGTGTTGAAGAAAGAAAAAGGCCACTTTCTGGATACAATTCTTGCTTCCCAAATGCCTTCTTTGTAGTTCCAGATCCACCTTGTGGCAGCACCTGCTCTGCTCTATCCAGAAAGCTCCTCAATGACTCCATCTGTTCGCCACCTATAACACCAAAAAATAAAATATTACTTATTTGAAAAGCCTCTTCTTCATCCATCTATCATCTATACTCGCTTTTTTTAATGGGGGCTGATGCCTAGCTCCTGCAGCCAGGGTAAAGTTGGACAGGTCACTAGTCCATTGCAGGGCAACATAGACACACAGGACAAACAACCATGCACACACACTCACATCTAAGAATAATTTAGAGACATCAAATAACTTGACCGTAATATTTTGACTGTGGAAGGAAGCTGGAATACCTAGAAGGAACCCATAAATGGGGAAAACATGCAAGTTTCGTGCAGAAAAAACCCAGATTTGGGATTTGGACCTTCTTGCTGCAAGGCAACATTGCAGCAGCAGCTTATCCATAGAAGCTTGGGCTCCACCATCCATGATATGAAGAGGAAAAGATGTCAAAAATATATATACATAATGTAAATCCATATATTTACTATTAGTGTGAGTGCTTAAATTCAATCTAAATTATTTACAGATAATTTCCACCAGCTGTCACATTAAACAGTGAATTTCCCCCAACAGACTCACTAATTTCACTCCTCAGACACTGAAAAATGCACTCCTGAACTGCAGCTAAACAGCCAATCATGTTTTATTGCTAGGTAAAACTGGAACAATTCTGGCCAATAAACATCACCGAATTTATTGTCTCTGAGGCATAGCGCCCCAGCTACATGAAATTGCATGCTGAATAGTGTTGGGCATCGAGCATGGATTGGAACCGGTTCCAATTGTTCATTTTTCCCGGAATCGCTCAACGTTTTTATTTCGATTCCTAGTTTCCATTCCTAGTATGCTGACGGAAGAGGAATCCGCGGCCGATCTCCATGAAAAATAAACGTCATCTGCAAATTGTGAACAACGCTTTTCAGAGCGGATCACACCAGCTGTCTGTGTGCAGCACCAAGTCTCCCCCTCCCCTCACCCGGATATAAACAAATGTGTCTGGTTGTGCTGCAAGTCTTTTTCTTTTTTCTCCAAAACATGTTTTTGTCTAAATCAGGGGTGTCAAACATGCGGCCCGCAAGCGGGTTAAATCCGGCCCGCGAGATGGTTGTGAAAACTTTATTTTCATACTTTACAATGTAGAGTGAAAATAAACTTATCTTTGTGAGCAAGTTTTCTCTGTAACCAGTATTAATAAAACAAAGCTGCGCTCAAGGCTCATACAAGAACTTGAATCCCATCCTGAAGTTGGCTGCCACTCAGGATGTGACTTCTGATATTGATGTGCTGGTGAAAGCTAAAAGATGTAAAGTAAAATGAGTCAAATATACTTTAAGTGCTGCATGGAACTGATCTTGCCATGTGATCTGTAAGCTCTTTGAATCACTAAGGAATTTTTTATTATGTATTGATTTTTTATTTTTTTCAAATGTTCAAGTACACTTCAGGTGTACACTGTCCTCAGGCTCCAGCCTTGTTTTATATTGATTGTATTAAAACAAAGAAAACAATCTGAAGTTTTTTTTTTTTTTTTTTTTTATTTACCGGTCCGGCCCACTTGGGACTAGATTTCCTTCAATGTGGCCCCTGAGCTAAAATGAGTTTGACACCCCTGGTCTAAATGAAGGTGATGTTGTTGTTCATATAATTAAAATTCATGCTGAAGTAAAAATTATTTCATCAAGTAGGACCTGTGGTTAGCTGGCTCATGTAAAACATGTCATGTCTTCAAAGAATCGGAATCGGTAGGAACCAGAATCGAAACGAGGAATTGGAATCGGAATTGTTCAAAATCAAACAATGCCCAACCGTAATGCTGAAAGGCACTGGATTGGATAGCTTTTCCCCTCTCTTTCTCTCTCACTCTCTCTCTCTCTCTCTCACACACACACACACACACACACACACACACACACACACACACACACACACACACACACACACACACACACACACACACACACACACACACACAGACACACACACACAAAATAATCTGGGCTGCACTTAAATGTGTGGAACACAGAAAAATGTTTTTGAATAGTTATTTCTGATTCTAACGGGTCACTCTGAGTTCTTCATGCAGGCTGAACATGAAAATAGTCTCCTACACCTTTCACCCGCAGTAGCTTCTGATAGAAAACAGACAGTGAAACTCTAGGATTAGAAAATCCTGACATATCTACGTCACACTGTCACTAACATTCATGGACTCACCCATCTGGACTCATGAGGAAGGTTGTTGTTTTTTAGCGTCCAGGCTAGTAGAAGCTAACTGTTTGCATTAGCAACAACACCACAGAGCAGAACTCCTGCAGGCTTGAGTTATTTGTGGAGATAAAATATTAATGTTGCAGAACAAACGGAGGCAGTGGTAAAATCACAATATTTGTAGCCAATCAGAAGTGAGATGTCCAAATATCGGGAAATAAGACTCCAAATCTTGTCATCTGAAGCTACTTTCCCGCCAGCTTACTTGTACTTCCTGAAACATGCACATCTGAAAATTTTCCCCTCAGAGTATGACATACAATAGGGCTGGACGACAAATCAATAGGGCTGTGCAGTGGTTAGAGCTGTTGCCTTGCAGCAAGAAGGTCCTCGCTTCCCGGTCTGGGATCTTTCTGCATGGAGTTTGCATGTTCTCCCTGTGCATGTGTGGGTTCTATCCAGGTACTCCGGCTTCCTCCCACTGTCCAAAACATGACTGTTAGGTTGATTGGTCTGTCTAAATTGTCCTTGGGTGTGAGTGTGTGTGTGCACGGTTGTTTGTCCTGTGTGTCTCTGTGTTGCCCTGCGATGGACTGGCTCTCTGTCCTGGGTGTACCCCGCCTGATTGCCCATTGACCGCTGGAGATAGGCAACAGCCGCCCCGCGACCCTACATGGACAAGCGGGTTCAGA